CTTTGCTTCTGTGAAGATTGACAGCCTTGGAGACCCTGTGGGGCAGTTCCACTCTGTCCTCTAGGGGCGCTGTGGGTCAGAATCGACTCCACGGCAGTGGGTGTGGTTTGGGCTGTGCTTCTGTGAAGATTGACAGCCTTGGAAACCCTGTGGGGCAGTTCCACGCTGTCCTCTAGGGGCGCTGTGGGTCAGAATGGACGCCATGGCAGTGGGTGTGGTTTGGGCTTTGCTTCTGTGAAGACTGACAGCCTTGGAGACCCTGTGGGGCAGTTCCACTCTGTCCTCTAGGGGCGTTGTGAGTCAGAATCAACATCAATTCAAAAGCAGCAGGTGAATGGTAGTGCATTTGATATGTAACGTGGGTGTGAATTTAAGATAACACTGAATCATATATGTGTATCATTTTTTTTTCTTCTTTTTTTTTTTTTTTTTTAGGGAAATCCAGTGAAGAAGGAGGATATCTTTGTTGCAGTGAAAACATGCAAGAAATTTCATGGTGACAGAAGTACGTCTTGAGTTACTCTTGTTAATTGAACTTTTAACATCCAGGTTGCCTCTAATAACAACAAAAACGTCCATACCAGGTACAGACCCGAGAAAGGAGTAGTGGCCAGCGTGCTGTTGGAGGGGAAGCAGGAATTCAGGCCACGCTGCTTGCCAGCTCAGTGGCAGGCTCAGCTGGGAGGGAGAGGTTTGCGTTGGAGGATACGTCGCACAGGCCTCCTCGATACCGTCTAGAGCAGGGCTGTAAACTGAGGTGGAAAGGTCAGCCGGGGAGGGCTGCACAGTGTTGAGAGCAACAATCTGCTTTGGAAAGCAGTGGCCTGTGATGGTAGCCGGAGCCCAGCCAAGGTCTTGAACTGCTTGGGGAACCTTCCAGAGGCTTTCACATTAGAGAAGGCCAGGAAAGAATGTTTCCTTGAAGGAAGATGGGGCAGTCTACTTCCGTAAAGATATACCACCTTGGAACCCCATGGGGGTCACTGTGAGTTGGAATTGACTCAGTGGCAGTGGGTTTGTCTGATCCCTTCTGTGTCTCGACGGCAGTGGGTTTGTTTGATCCCTTCTGTGTCTGGTGGTTTTAAATGGACACGCTGGAACTGTTGGGTTTGTTCACTACATACTTTTTTTTATTTTTAAGTTTTTATTGTGATTTGGGTAAAAGTTTACAGAGCAAAGTGGTTTTCCATTCAACAGTTGGTACACATTTTGTATCGTGACATTCACTGCAGTCCCCACAGTGTACCGGCCCCCTTCCCACTCGCTCCCTGTGGTTACAGTTCCCTTCACCCTCCTTGCCTGTCCCGTCCTGCCTTCTGAGCTGTATCCCTGGACAAAGGCAGCACTTTCGATTATTCTGTGGAGTGCACCGCTCCCTGGTGTTACTGTGCACCTGGTAGGCCCGTCGCGTTTGGCTGGAACTTGAGCAGTAGAGGTGAGTGCAGGTCCAGGCCTGAAGGGCGCTCAAGGTCATAGTCTGGGGGGTTCTACCAGTCTCTGTCAAACCCATAAGCCTGGTCCTTTTTATGCTTTTGAGTTTTGTTCCACATTTTCCTCCTACTCTCTCCAGGACCTCTTACTGTGATCCCTTTCAGAGCAGTCAGCAGTGACAGCCAGGCACCATCTAGTTCTTCTGGTCTCAGGCTCTTGGAGGCTGGGGTTCCTGTGAGCTAATTATTATCATGGGTCTTTGATTTTCTTCACTCCTCTTTGCTCCAGATGGGGAGAGACCAATAGTTGCACCTTACTTAGCCATTCACAAGCTGTTAAGACCCCAGCTGCTGTTCACTAAACTAGGATGTAGAACATTGTCTTTGTGGACCGTTAAGCTGATTGACCTCGCTGTCCCCTAAAACTATGGTCCTGTGCTCCCAGGTGCAGCAACTCATTCCCTCAAGGTGTGTGGTTAGGGCTAAGAAATTTTGAACATTTTTTTTTTAAATATGTTTTTGCGCCTAAGTTGTTGTTGTTATGTGCTGTAGACCCCTCCTTGGGTTTCCGAGGCAGTATCACTACGGAAGTAGATTGCCCAACCTTCCTTCTGAGGAGTGGCTGCTGGGTTTGAACTGGCAGCCTTCTGGTTAGCAGTCAAGTGCCTTAGGCACTGCGCCACCAGAGCTCCCTTGCTCCTAAGTAGGTATATGGAAAGGACATCTGATTGCATAGTCGTTGAAGCACTCAGCTGCTAACTGAAAGGTCAGTGGTTTAAATCTACCAGCAGCTCTGTGGGAGAAAGATGAGGCAGTCTTTTTCTTTAAAGAGCCTTGGAAGCCCTGTGGGGCAGTTCCACTCTGTCCTCTAGGGGCGCTGTGAGTCAGAATCGACTCCACGGCAGTGGGTGTGGTTTGGGCTTTGCTTCTGTGAAGATTGAGAGCCTTGGAGACCATGTGGTGCAGTTCCACTCTGTCCTCTAGGGGCGCTGTGAGTCAGAATGGACTCCAC